CCCCCTACTGTTGTTCAGATGTGGCACTGGGCCAGGTAGGAAACCTGACCAGTCAGTAGTGAACTGCTGGCAACTCTGTGATAGACACCATCTACACTATGTGTGCTCAGGGAGTATTTATCACAATTCTGATCATTCAGTCCCTATTTGTCTGACATCCACATTGATCTGTCATTTGGTTGTGAACTAATATAGAGGACAAAAGTGCCATTCATCATACTTCCATCAACTCTAACAGTTATAATTATTCTAAGAACACTGAACATTCCTGCATGTCCCTTGTTAGGCAATCAAAGAACGAAATGTAATACAATCTGCTATCTGGTGGATCAATAATATGATCAATTATAACATGGCTAGCTTCAAATAGATCTTAGTTAAAGTCCTAAGGCATGAGAGCTGGAGAGGATTCTATTTGAAATGTGACTCTAGCATTCAATAAAAATGTCAACATCTCGGTGATGACCAAATTATGTTCTAAAATTTGATTTGCAAACTACTTTGCACTCTATGAATGCTTTCTCTTAAACTCCTGGCTAATAAAAGCCAGGAGTGCAAGAGATGGGGGCCAAGTCGCCTGAGCTGGGCACTTTGAGTTTAAAACTAGATTTGCTGCTTGCAGGATTTTATTCAACCCAAGACTTCAATGGTGGTTGAGATGCATCATTATTTTATTACCAGCAACAAAACACTTGCATTTAACAATGACATATGCTTCAACAATGACCCTGAATCATTCACAAGTAGCCTCAGATGGCTTCGACATTCATCTGTACAAAGAGATTTGGAACTTCCCTGGCCTTTGGTGGCAAATATTTGTTCTTCATGCATCTTGGTCACAAAACACAAACACAGCGTTATGTTTTTGTGGGTATCCTCACTTTGAAGCCACCAAGACATGTTGGGTGAGAAAATATGGAATTGCAGTTATTCTTCCCACGATAAATATTTGCTCCACTGAGGGACAAACTAACACCCCTTTCCTCTCTTGTAAGACCTGTTTACCCTTTACAGTGGTTTTCTTCTCAGGCTCAGAGAGTCATTTATCAGCAGGGTATAGAGACAAAGCATGCATGCTGACTCAATAGTTTTCTCTGTTGATTTTCAAAACCAACCTACTTACAACTAAACTCAAAACAAGGAGTACAAGACACACACACACACACACACACACACACACACACACACACAGGAAACAAGGGTGGGAGAAAGAGGAATACTTCTCTCTAAGTCACCACAGTCAAAAACAATGTCATGGATCAGGACTCTAGTTCAGTGGCAGAGCCCACCACTCTTCCTGACAAATACCTATGGACAAAAGACAATGTGACTCTCATCAGTGGTAAGATGCACACTCACCACAAAGATCTTAAAGTAGAAAAAAGGCACGGAATGCATCTTACAATTGGTGAAATATACTTTATGTTGATGAACTCACAGAAATGATTCAACCTCTCTAAGCTTCACCCCACTTGTGTGTAATGAGCAGACAATGCTGCTCCTCTTTGGCTTGGTCTAATTTTAACACAGTGCATTTCATGCACTGTTAGCACTACTATTCCAGGTAATAATAACACTCTTAAGCCAATCTCAAAATCTTTCTCCTAACAAAACAGTTAAAACAATGGTGGTTTAGAGCTGGCCTCCCTAGGAGCTCTGAGGAGGACCAAATACTCAGACTCAAGCCTGTGCTGGCAGCCATCGTCCTATGATGATCCTGAAAAAGAAGAGAGAAAACCCTGGGGCTGGCAGCCAGCATCTTATAATGATTCCAAAGAAGAGAACAGGGAGTGCAACACATAGCACCAGGCACATGGTTGTTGACAAGTTCTGCTCAGCTTAACAAAAACTTATTAACTGTTCGAGTGCTTTAGAGTGAGGAAATACAAGTATGAATTAAGGTAAGTTTTGTTGACTTGGAGGTCTGAATAGGAAATGGGCAGAGATGACTTTAGGGGGGTCTGGGAATAAAGACAGGGGCTCAAAGGTAGAGGCAGGAGTGATGGTTAGTAATTAGATGGGTCATTTAAAAGAATGGACTCATGCAGGGAAAGAAAGCTATAGTTGTATTTTTAGTCAGTGGTGAAAGAAGTAAAATCCATTATGCAAATATTTGGAAAGTAGGAAACAATTTCCAGCCTACTATGCGTTTGGTTCTTGGTCATGAACACAGCTTAGCAACCTGGTCCTGAGTTTAGCCAGAGAACAGATGATCAGCAGGTGAAGACTCAACAGGTGTGACAGTGAATTTATAGGATGTGTGTGCCTGTGCGTTAATAGCTGTATAAATTTATTTCCCAATGTTATAACAAGCTACCTGAGGCTAGAAAAAATTAATTAAGTTTATTTTTGAATATAGAGTATAGCATTGACTTTTGCTTGGCTCCGCTGGGGGCTGTGGCTGTGCTGGCTCATAGCATGCTTGATGGCATTGTGATGGGAATACACTCAAGAACAGGTAGGGGGGCTGGAGAGATGGCTCAGAGGTTAAGAGCAGTGGCTGCTGTTCCAGAGGTCCTGAGTTCAATTCCCAGCAACCACATGACAGCTCACAACCATCTGTAATGGGATCTAGTGCCCTCTTCTGGCCTGCAGAGATACATGCAGACAGAACACTGTAAACATAATAAATAAATCTAAAAAAAAAAACAACAACAAACAAACAAACAAAAAAACAAAAAAAAAAAGAACAGGTAGGAGGTCCAAGAGATCTGTTACAGCTACTTGCTTTTGAAAGAATGTGACTCACTCCCTGAGACCAGCATTAATTCTCTCCAAGGGCAATGCCTCTAGTGACTTAATCCCTTCCCATTAGACCTCACCTACAGGTCCACCCAGGGTGGGCAATCCTAGGGACAGATCAAACTCAGAGCTTTGTACATGCTAAGCAAGTACTTGATTACTGAGCATCCCATCCTCAGCCCTCTTCTCACTTTTTTTACACAGTCTCACTAAGTTGCTCATCTGTCCTTGAACTCACTCCATAGTTCAAGTTGCCTTGATCTTTGGAGCCTTCAAGAAACTGTGATTATAGACATGTACCAACACAGCCTGGCTTAGGCTTCATCTTTTAAAGGTCCACTACCTGACATAGCCACACAGCTTCCTACACATGAACCTTTCAGGGGCAGACCATGTCTTAAGTCTACTATTGTCTGTCTTCTTTCTCCTTGTAGGTTGGTAAAATCATCTCCAGCTTATGTGAAAAACATGGACAGCCTTCTTTCTAGTGTTATTTCTATTTAAGGTCTAGGATCAGAAGAAGTACATCTGATGTACCCATTTCAGTTTTGGGAGAAGCTAAAGCCAATATCCTTACACCTTACCACTTCTTTTTCAAGGGGTAGCCTTGAGGGGTCAGTCAAGGAGACCAGCCTTAGACTTCTGGTCAACCCAGGGGTATTCATGGTCACATACCATTTGACTTCTCATGTTGTCTCATTTGGCCAATCACTAGTTACCACTTAGGCATGGGGACACTGAGGGAAATTTCTGAACAGTTGGCCAGAGTGACCAGTGACAGGGAAACTCCCGTTACTATTCCCAGTCCAGGAGAAATCTGAGTTAGTCAGTCACCCAACAACTTCTCCAGAAAATGATCTCAAGCATGGCCTGGACCCAAATAAAATCATTATGGCAAAAGGGTGTTTTCTTTTGAGGGAATATGAGGGCAGGAGTAATGTGGAAGTCTGTAAGGAAACTGTTCACCTATGGAAAACAAATTAAGTTCTGTGAGGCTAAGCATTTATAGATTACCACTTTCTGAATATTACACAGATCCTGGAATCCTGTAAGGACTTCTCAGATGTGTGTATGGGGGCAGATGCATTCGTGACAACACTCCCAAAGGTGGGTGAGTTACTGCACCCAGGAATCTTGGATTCTGCTGTGATTGTATCCACCAGCATACTCACGGCCATCTGCTACTCAGTAAGAATACCCAACACCAGCAACTGAGACCCAGATTTGCTTGGATAAGAGGAAAGCATAAGGTCTACTTTTACACTGAAGTTTGTGTTCCAAATAATGAGCCTCCTTTCC